TTAGTTGCCAGTCATTTTTCATAAAATGTTAGTATGCTTTTTTGGACAACTAATTTTTGTCTGTTGAATTGACTAAAGGGTATTTACTCTTGACCATACCAAAATAATTTTGACACAAGTATATATACAACTTCTGGATCTTAACTAGATGCTCAAGTATTCAGTTTTTTTAGTACTTCCTTCAAAATTAGAGATAAAACATTACCCTATCTTTGGAAAAGATTTATCACTCTGTCAAAATTCAGAGAGCAAATAGCCATTGTTAATATATAGAGTTGTTATTAAATAAATTGCTATAGATCCAGTGATGTTGTAACTAGAGAATCCGACTTTCCACAGTAATATTAGGCATAGGGTAATATTTACTATGTCACTAGAGTAACTAATTAGAGTTTACTTCATTTGAAAGGACAAAACCTGTTGCAATGGCCTTGTTTCACATTTCCTATAACATCTGTCCAAATGAACAAATGTGTGATATTTTACATTTTACGTTCTTCTGTTTTACAGAACTAATGAAGCAAAATAATTTCTCCAGTGTCATCAATAAAGAAAACACATACATATTTCAGTGGAGTTTTGTTAGTAAAGGTCTTACTCCTTCAAAATTTACTGTTTCTCTGAATGTCAAATTCTTACACTTTTAAAAAATTATCCTAGAAGCAGCATAGTAAACTTAACATCTCACTTATTGAGATGTGCATGTTTCTACTGACAATATAAGGCAGAGTACAAGCTTCTTTTAACTTTTAATATACAATACAAATATCAAAATATTTAGGTTTTTTTCTTACTTTCATATTAGAGATAAAATAATGCTCCTAACTTTGGGAAAGATTTATTACTCTCTGAAAAAGTTAAAGGGGAAATACTGCATGACTAGTATGTAAAATTGTTATTAAATGAATTGGTAAGGATTCAGTACAGCTGAAGCTAGGGAATTCTGACTTTACATAGTTATCTTATAAGTCAATTGACATACCTTGCCCTCACTACTAGTAGTTCTGATGATAAAAAGGTCAAAAAATTTCCACTTGATCAGCTTTATTATGTAGGATTGTATAAGGCATGGATTATTATGTAGGATTGTATAAGGCAAATTAACATTTGTTAATTTTTTTAGGTAAAAGTTCCAAAATTTAGCAACATGGAAGTTTAAAAAAGAATCGGTGAAATGGTATAATGAAAAAAACCTGATAAAGTCTTCAAAAAATGAAATCAATTGTCTTATTAGAATGAAAAATATGTTCACTCTACTCTGTTTACAGAAAAGCAAAGTGAAAACATTTTCAAATTAGTTCTATTAAATTTTTGAAACAAACTTCCTTTTATTCATTTTATAGCATTTTTTGTTCTAAAAGTATATGTATTAATAACTTTGTGCATTATGTATTAGAACTACTAAGAATAGAAGTCCTATTATTCTTTATACCATATGATAGCTCTGTTCCCCTTATTATTTCAATTATTAGTAAATACAAAATACATCTTAATGGCATAAAAATTCCCAAATTAGTTCTTTGTACTTCATTCAGAACTCTGTACATTCATGTATCAAAGTACACTCATGTATCTTTTAAAGATTTATTTATTTATTTGAGAGAGAGTGAATGAGCGAGAAGACGGTGGGGAGGAGCAGAGAGGAGGAAAAAATCTTAAGCAGACTCTGTGCTGAGTGAGGAGCCCCAGGCAGGGCTTGATCTGACAACACTGAGATCAGGAGCCTGAAATCATGACCTGGAGCTGAAAATGGTTGGAAGCTTAATGGACTGCGCCACGCAGACACCCATTATGTGTATTTATTTACTAATGACATCACAAATACTGTGGTTAAGTATACTTATATACTTAACCAAAGTATATAACTTAAGTATATAAGTATAAACTTTGATTAACCGAAGTTAATTGGGGCCTAGCTTTGAAAAACACCATGATGTATTTACAAATCCAAATGATTTTTTGGATTTTTTTTTTTTTTTAAGATTTCATTTATTTATTTGAGAGAGAGAGAGAGAGAGAACATGAGCTGTGGGAGAAGCAGAGGGAGGAGCAGAAGGAGAGGGACAAGAAGACTCTGTGCTAAGCACCGAGCCCCAACATGGGCTTGATCACAGGACCCTGAGATCATGACCTGAGCCAAAATCAAGAGTCCGATGCTTAACCACCTAGGTGCCCCCACATTTATTATTCTTTATTATGTTGCTACATTTTTCTCAGAACCATTATATACTTATATATATATATATCATACTAATGATTTTTTTTGTAAGATTAGCTTTTATTTTAAAACAAAATAACTTCTTCATTACACATTGAATAATACCAATTCCCATTAATAATACCCTCAGAACACACACTGAAATGATCCAGTTCTTCATGTCTCCCTGCCTACCACTCTGGGACATGTCTCTGTCTTCTCTTGATTGAACTTCCAAAATGTTTCATTGCTTCCATGCTTGTCTCCTTAATCATTTTTCATCAGAAATAGTAATCTTTGTAAACTAGAATAATACCAGGATACTTGTCTGCTTAAAACTCGCCAGTGGTTTCCTTTCATGGAAGATAACTCACTTCCTGCCAGTTGTCTTTAATCTCAAACCGCTGTCCTGAGTGTTCGTTTTACACCAATTCACTGAGCACTCCCATTCTTTGAACTGGCCAAGTGTGTGTGGGCTGCTCACTCTTCCTTCTGGCGAGAAACTAGTACTTTTTAAGCATGTGTGGCTCCATTTATCATCTATTCACCTCACTTTCTCACCCTTACTTATTGCCATCTGTAATTATCTTTTTGATATGGTTGGGTTTTTGTGTGCGTGTGTATCTCTTATCACTAAAATGTTTTACAAGAGCAGAGTCTTACTCGCAGCTGTGTCTCTTATGCACCTAGAACAGTAGCCATTATGTACTACATTCTTTCAAATGTGTCATAAAAATACTTCCCCACTAATGAGGGTCTGCACGGTGGGAATAAAGTAGAAGACTACTGGGAAAATTAATTTAGACAAAATTCAAAGTTACAACATTAATCTGAATGCTCTTCAGCCACAGAGAGGAACTTCAGAGGCTAGCTAGACAGAAGCATCACCAGATGTCTCAATATAGAAATTTACCCTTTCTCAAAATAGAGTTCAGAGCATCACGCTGGAACACATGAAATTAAACCAAACAAGTAAAACAACAATAACAAAATACTGTGTAACATTCTCCTTGAACAGGTTTGACTTATTTTATTCTGTCCGTCCTTTGGCTCAGCTCAGAAAATATGGTGTCTTCCTTGGCACCTCCTTTTCTCTCACAGCCTTTGTCCAACCATCAGTACACCTTGGCAGGTGTATGCTCAAAATTTATCTAAAATCGGTCTGCTTTTCTGTATCTCTACTGGTAGTCACCCCGCTGTCATCCCTCACCTAAAGTTTTGCAAGAGTTCCCAGTAGGTCTCCCTGCTTCAACTCCTACTTCACTTCGATATATTTTCCACGCAATGCTCATTTATTTAAAAAGTGCAAGTCCTATGTCACTTAGCTCATGATGCTCCATTTCTTCCCCTCTCTCTTGGAACAAAAGCCAGACTCCTTACAGTGGCCAGTATCTTTGATTTTTTGCTACATTTCTGGCCTCAGCTGTGGCCACCTCACCGTTCTTGGAACTTGCTAAAAGCATGTGTCCAAGTTCAAGGCCTTTCACTTGTCATTTCTCCTTCCTAGAACACTCTCTGCCCCACCCCATTTCCACCTGGCTTGCTTCTTCATTTTCTTTATATACAATGCATGATAGTTACCATCAAATAACCAATGGAGATATGTATTAGAAAATAGTGAAAACGTTGTTTTAAATATGTGGCCTAGCTTAGCCTGTACAACAATGGATTCTTGAGTCAGAATGTTTAAGTTGAAAAACCACTGGAAATTTCCTCTTAAGTTTCCTATTGTAAAATGCTTGCGTGGCTCATAGTAAATGCTCAGTTAACACCAATATTATTATTTCAGTATGATACCTGCCTAACATTTGTAATTATTGAGACATAGCTACAAGTGGGCTAAAAATATAATTTGCCTATTATTTTTATACTGGAAAGCATATCTTAAATTTTTTCTATACTACTAAATAGCCTTAAGTGACAAAAAATAATCTTGAGTCCTATTTATATTTTGATATGTGATAGAGACACCGTAATTTAACTACTACTCCATTACTGTAAATTGTTTAGCTTCCAGTTCTCTTTTATTACTTTCAGTTCTCTTTTATTACTGAATATTATACTGTCTTTTATGTATTAAGATTTTTTTAATGTAAATATATGGATTCATGGTTGTAAGATTCTTCAGGTTGAAGTATCCTTTTGATATTAGCCTCAAGAAAAGTAAACTAAATAAATAATGTCCTAGTCACTTCTTTAAATTCATATACTTTAAAATTTTTGTACTAAAAAGCCACTTGCTCACATTGCTTTTTATAAGTAGAAAGAATTAAATATATCATAAGAAAACAATAGAATATAAGAAAATGTAATTAACCTTTTCTATGAAAACTAAGAAATAACTTCTTGTCTGCCAAATTGGTATTCATCAATAAAGAATAACACAAGGACATTGTTTGGAAGTAGCCCCTAAAAGTAATGATAACAAGAAAGAAATTGAATTTTTAGTTTCAGCTCCAGACTGTTGCACCTGTTTGATCATTTGGCAAAGCTGCCTTTCTTTTGTTCAGGAGGCAAAGTGACTGATTGATCCAGTTACCCTACTGTTAACCCATTCTGCAGAGAACTTCTATTTATAGTCTTGCCAGAGGAATACTATTCTCTTGAGAATTAAATGACCCCAGGTGGTGAAACCTAGATATAAAGACATGAGGCATTGATTAATTTCTTCCCTATTTATGTAAGGCTGTTTTTCCGGTATTTTACTCAACTGAATAGATCAAAATCTGTAAAAAGCCTATCTGTAGTAAGTCGGATGGAATATTAAAAAGCCATACTTCTTATTCTCTTCTCTAAATTTCAGTATAAAGAACGTAACTCCCAAAGTAGGAGACCCTGAAACCCGCAAAGCTATTCGCCGTGCCTTTGATGTGTGGCAGAATGTAACTCCTCTGACATTTGAAGAAGTTCCTTACAGCGAATTGGAAAATGGCAAACGCGATGTGGATATAACCATCATTTTCGCCTCTGGTTTTCATGGAGACAGTTCTCCCTTTGATGGAGAGGGAGGGTTTTTGGCACATGCCTACTTCCCTGGACCAGGAATTGGGGGAGACACTCATTTTGACTCAGATGAGCCATGGACACTAGGAAATCCTAATCATGATGGTAAGTGCATAGCTTTTTTTCATTGCAGATTGTTCTGTTTTTATTTCTATTTTTGGAATGCCCCGGTGATTTACTAATTTAAAAACTTTGAAGGTGTTGGTTCCAAATTTGCTTTTAAAATGATAAAACATGATAAGAGGCTTTTCCATAACATTTTAGAACAAGAATTTGTATCACTGCCAGTAGACATTGCTAGTTTTTTGTGTGGTCTGTGCCTAGGAATTAGAACTTTACACTGTGTTCTGTAAATAAAGTGAATTTTGTTTTCTGTAAAATGGCATTTAAAAGACATCATAGTATTTTAAGTCATGGAACGTGCTTAAGGAAATTCTGCCATTTTTTCTACACCATATTGCAGTGTTTCCACTTGAAAGTTAACCTGCTTGACATTTGTGATGTAGCTTCTGCCATCTTCCTTTTCTTTTCTTTTCTTTTCTGTTATCACCTTTCTAGTTTGCAAAATTTTGCTCCTTTCATCCTTATTTCCATTTTCTTGGTCTCCCAGTATGATATGACTACATAATTTATAACGTTATATTATATCTTTCTCTATTTTTATTCAAAAAACAACTTTTTGCAAATCTATTCCAACAAATCTGTCAGATTTTTAATCTTTATAATTATTCTGATATGCAAAAATAAATTTTTAAAAATTCAATAACTGAAAGAATAGTTATTTCACATAAGAAGCATGTGTTTCTTCCTACACAACAATCCATACTTCAACTTTATGTTTAAAAAAAATTCACATAATTACGAGATCCTAGAGTTAGAAGATTCCTAACTATCCACCTCTTACAATTCTTGTAATCAAGACTTAAATATTTTTCTTCCTCACCGTAGTAGAATGTTGTTGAAAGTACAGCATACATTGTTGTAATGACAGCTAATCAGCTAATAAAACTCTTAATTCCTCCTTGATGAGTTAAACCCAGCCATTAAATTAAGCTATGTTAGTTCATCAGAAAGTTTAGTTAGTTGAATTAGTCTAATAGCCTTGCATTTTGAGAAAGCACAGAGTTCAAACATATGGATAGAAAGAAGTAAGTTGAATTAAATTTAAAATAACATCAGTTTTCAAAGAAAGAAAATATAATAAATACCTGTTCCTGTTTTCCAAAAGAAAATAAAATATCTAAATATACAATAAAATGGCCTTTTGCATTGTTCTTACTAGGTATATTGACTATGAACTTATGACTTCCTTCTTAAGAACTGATTTGGAGACAATGGCAAGTATGCTGGGAGATTTCACTGTATAGTAGGGTAATGAAAGCCAAACTTTGAAGTTGAGCAGGCGGCATTCAATTCCTGGCTAACTGATCATTAGCTCAAGAAGCCTCTACCATGCTGTATACCTATTCTCATTCTGGATGTTGTATTGTAGGGCTGGGACATTGCAAGTAGACATGCTTTCTATTCAGGAATGTTTAACCTAGGCTATGCCTGAGCATCCAATAATAAAATATTTGCAATGTAATAGTAGGCCCACACTGGTTTGATACATAAATCATTTAAAAATTAACTGTGTTTATCTTACTTATAAATTTTTTTTTATTATTAAGTGTGCTCCACACCCAATATGAGGCTCAAACTCATGACACAAACTCTGATCCAAAGACCTGAGCTGAGATCCAGAGTCAGATGCTCAACCAACTGAGCAACCCCAGCTGCCCCTATCTTGTTTTTATCAAAATTACACAAGTATTCTAATGAACAAGTTCAGACATCTTCAATTGAGTTGTTAATATAAATGTTTGCATTCTAAATGATTGAGAAGAATAGCACTTATAATGGTAGAATTTTGCTGATTGAAGCAAAATTGTATTTGCTTCTGGGAAAAGACTTCTTCTAAAATTCTAAACAGAGAAATTTTTTTTTATTCCAGTAATTACAATTCCAAAATTGTATTTTATTCTAATAATAGACCCAGTTGTTAAGGCTACTATAAATCTGGAGCTTTGAAGTCTTGTTCATTTGGTGATGGTGCCTATCAAATGGCCTATATTTTCTCTTAAAATATCGAAATCCTTATGAAAGCTGCACACATTTTTTAGATATATCCTTTATTAGCTGCATTTTTTTAGGTATCAAGAAATACTTTTTGAAAATAAAAAACTTTAAGAAAAAATCTATAGGAATATTTGAGATGACAGGAGATTAGAATGTTTACACTGATTTAAGTGTAATTGCTGTATGAATGCTTCTGGGTTTTTGCACAACTTAAGAGGTTTTCCAAGGAATATATATGTGGAATAAAATTGAAATAGAACATAATGAGCTAAAGATACACAAGCATGTCAATGGACTTTTGACTCAGATTATGTATTAATGCATTTGATTGCCTCTCAATTTACACTATAGAAATATAATAATTTTGTATGTAGGCATTCTATTAAGACAAAACAAATTACTTAATAATTAGTGTTTCATTTGGAAGAAGAATTTTTTTTTACTGATCACATATACACATTTTTTCTTTTGAGTGAGCTTAAGGAAAATGACTACAAAATCATAGTATTTCAGAATCATAGGGGATTAGAGAGAAGTTAACTGTCTGTTCAAGATGTAATACCATAAAGATTTACTGCTTAATTGAAATTCAGACTTTTAACTAGCAACAGCAGGGCAGCTAGGGTGGTGTCATGCTGAAGTATTGATCATTTATCAAAAGAACAGCCTCTAGCTTTGCTGTGTTGCTGGTGAATGTGGGGAGAATTAATGCCTTTGTACATCCTAGATCCTAACTCTCTGTAAGATTATCTTTTTGTATCACATATATCCAAGGAACAATTCTGACATCTTCATTGATAAACTTCTTCTTTTCTTTAGTCCTCAAATGCCCCCAAGCTTACTTAACTGAAAAATTTTCTTTCTTTCCTATTCACAGCTCTTAAGCACCTAGAAAACAGAGCAGCTTGATAATTTAGCAAAAATGCAAATGAAAGAGCCTCTTGATAAGCACCTAGCTCATTTTCCACAGCATATTGCTCAGCTAATGAAGGCAATTTGAATTCTGTCTACCTCAAAAGAGATAAACAGTGTCTTGGGCTGCCAGTAACCTTTAATTCCTTGTTATCCACTTTCCTATCAATTTGCTTATAGTCATGATACCTTTCAAAAACTCAAGCTAAAACCCATTAAGTAAATTATACAATAATTATATTAAAATAAATAAATAAATACCACACACACACACACACACACACACACACTCCCCTACCTAATAAAAATAATGCCACTTTTTCCAAGAGGTTGTTTGGTTTTTTTTTTTTTACCCCCATGGAGTAGATAAGCCAAACATATGCATAGTAGTTCTAAATAGAAAATGTAACTGTGATATGGTGGGTTTTTTTGAAAAGTATATATTGCCTGAATGTGAGTTGGAAAATTTAACTCTAGCAAACTGTTAAGATTCATTTTGAGCATCATTATCATATTGTTTCCTTGGCTACAGTATAAAGTTTAAACAGCACTATCAATGTAAACACAAACTTATCACAAAGATCCTTTCTAATTAGAAAAGTATGTACCACAGTAATAGGATTTCAAATTGACGATCTCTAAGCAAAAAGGTTAAATATTAAAATGTTATATAAAACTACAGCAGGAAAATATCTAGAGGCAAGTCTTACTATACCATAGAGTTGCAATTCTATTAACAAGAAGAATGCATGGCATTGGTTCCGTTTATTATCAGAAAAATCACTGCCGGAAATAAGATGGTCAGGAGGTGCTCAGGGCTGCTGTGGCTGTTTGTCTAAAAACTAGGGAGAGAGAGAGATGATGCTAACAATTTTATCATCAAAAAATTTTTATCATCAAAGAAAAGTTTATCATCTTTATCAAGAAAGCAAAACCCTTAAAACCTAGTCCATCATCGTGATGGTTAGATTTGTGTGGGCTAAGGGGAGCTTGTATGGAGTTTTGTGCGGGCTAAAAGGGGAACACATATAGTGAATAAATATAATTTCTGGATGTGTCTGTGAGGGTGTTTCTGGAGGAAATTAGCATTTGATTCAGTAGACTGAGTAAAGAAGATCCTCCTTCCCCAATGTGAACAGGCATCATCCAGTCCATTGAGGGCCAAATAGAAAAAGAAGAGGAAGGGGTAATTTTCTCTCTTTTCTTGAGTTGAGACACATCTTTTCCTGCCCTTGGAGACCAGAACTCCTGGTTCTTGGGCTGTCAGTCTCTGACTGAATTACACCTTTGGCTTTCCAGGTTCTCCAGATTGCATATGGCAGGCAGATCGGGAGACTTCTCAGCTTCCATAACCTTTTGAGCTAATTCATATAATAAATCTCCTCTTAAATATCTGTATAGATCCTATCAGTTCTGTTTTTCTGGAGAGTCCTGGCTAATATAACCATTAAATGTGAAGCAGTCAAATTCTACATGTAAGCCAGCTCATTCTCTGAATAAATCTAGTTGATGTTAAAACTCTTCATGATGGGATGCCTGAGTCAATGGACTTGATTTGTGTTGACTGGGGAGAGTTAACTTTCTATAGGAGACATTTTGTCGTTGGCACACTAGAGATGAGTTGGTGCCAAGAAGTAGACTTAAGCCTTAACCAGCTGTCTGCTTTTTCCCAAATTTTGTGCTCATTTTGCAACTGTAACTGCTATCTAATATTTTTCCAATGCTTACAGGATCTTAACCTTGATCTTTGAGGACAGGAAAAGTTGGATGCCAAACAGATATTTACCAAGAGGCCTGGAAGTGCTATAGTCTGTGGGAATATTGTCCAGATCAATCTTTCCTCTGCTTTTTGAAGACAAGGGAATCATTTGATAGGATGAGGCAGTCAAGGCCCTTAATCTATCTTTAAAAGCAGAGTATTTATTGAGATCTTAAAACCTAAAAATATTAGCTTTCTACCACATAGTTCTTACCTTACCATGTTTTACCTTGGAAGCTCTCTTTCTCAAATTAACTTGGCTTTTCAAATCTGTAATAGAAATATTTTTGTGTGTTTTTAAAAACATGACTTCTGG